TTACATATGCAAACTGTCCACCCCAGGGTGGGTGTAGCTCTCACACCCATAATCAATCAAACTCTAAAAGCCTGCCCCATGACTGCATGAGGCTTTGTGGGGACACACAGATACAAACCATAACAAAAAGGCATAAGCCAAAAAGATTCTGACAAAAAAGAAGCAAAGAAATAATAACACAAAATTTTCTTTTCAATGAATTTAGATAAACTAGTAGTAGAAATGAAACCAATTAGCATATATAATTGAAGTATTTTTAAAACAATAGGAATTTGTAATTTGGGGAAGTATTTGAACTTCTCCCTATTTATCTATATTCTGGCTTGCTCTTTATTTGCATGTATCTATCTATTGTATTTCTCATGTAAGAGAAACTTATGCAGTATTTGAGCTTGTGTGTATGACTTATTTCACTTAACATTATGGTCTGAAGTTGCATGCATTAGCTATATATGGCTCAAAATTATTTTTCTTTATGGCTATGTAGTACTCTATTATGTATAAATACCGCATTTTCCCTTTCCATTCATCTCTTGATGGACATATATACTGTTGGTTCCAGTCTCCAAGAGGAAGAATAGTAACTTCACATGAAGAAACTTGGCAAACCTGAACTTACTAAGTGATCAAGATAAACCATCACCAGCAGATATATGGATACCATGAATTCCTTGACCTTATGCATTGAGAAGGACACAGCATAATTTTTGTGGTATTTCCAAAAATGTAAACTTGATTCCAATCCTAACATAACATTGGAGAAACCCAAATGGAGGGACATCCTACAAAATACTGATCAATACTTGCAGAAGTGTCAGGATCATAAACAACAAGGGAAAACAGAGGACTTATTACAGACTGGAGGAAACTGATGAAAAATAACAGTTAAATGTAAGGTGGAATCCTGGATAGGGTCCTACTCAGAAAAAGTATATAGCCAGGTGTGGTGGTGAATATCTGATTTTTTTTTCTTTTTTTCTTTTTTTTTGTTTTTTGGTACCAGGAATTAAACTCAGGACCTTGTGCTTGCCAGGCAGGCACTTGTTCCACTGAGCTATATCCTTGGCCTGAGCGAGGTGTGGTGGTGGACACCTATAATTCTAGCACTTGGGAGGCTGAGGCAGGAGGATGGCTGTGAGTTTGAGGCCAGCCTGGGTTACTTAAGTGAGTTCAAGGCTGGCCTGGACTACATAATGAGAGCCTGTCTAAAAAAAAGAAAAACAAAAACAGATATAAGTGAGGAAATTGGTAGCATATAAACTCTGTAGTTTAATATTTAGCCAATAATTAATTAATTTTTAATTTCTGTTCAGGATATTTATTCCATATGTGAAATGCCCACATTAGGGCTTATACAGAATGAGGAATATGTGGGACTCTACTGTTTTTGCAACATTTTTGTAAGTCTAACATTAGCTCAAAAGAAAAAAATTTTTAAAAGGGATATATGATCATGCCAATAGTCACAAAAAAGCTTTTGATGAAATTCATTGCCTCAACATCAGAAATAAAAAGAAATAGAGAGTCTTTCAAAAACCCAGAACAGTTATCATCCAAATTGAAAAAAATACTAGAAAGTTTGCTTTTAAAATTCAGATGTAAGACTAGGATACTATTATTACTACCTTTGTTTAACATTGTATCAGGGATATTAACTAATATGATGGAACATGAAAAAAAGATAGGTGAAGATTAGAAATGAAATAAAACTGTCATTACTTATAGGTATTACGATGTTTTATGCACAACCTTTCCACCTCTACAAACTAGAAGCAAATTATTGGAAGTGGTGGGGAAGTTTAGCAGGGTGGCTAGATATAAGACTAATATACAAAAGATAATTCTAGAGTAGAACAACTAATAACACTTTAAAAAGGCACTATGTACAAAATTAACATCGTACTAAGTATGAAGTAGTAAATGTAACGAAGGATATGCAAGTCCTTGTTTAATAATTGGAAGATTTAATGTTATGAAAATTTCAGTTTTCCCCAAGTTGATCTACAAATTTAGTGCATAGCCAGTAAAAATCTGAAAATGATTTTTATGAAAGTGGATAAATTATCTGATATTTTTGTGGAGGAGTAAATGGTCAAAAAAAGCCAAGGCATTTTAAAAAGAAATGTAGGGAGGAATAACTTGCCCTATCAGATATCAGGACTTAACTGTAAACCAGCAGCAATCAAGGCAATGTGATTTTGACAGTCTTTTAATTTTGGGATTTTTTACTATGTTGTACTTTTGTTTTTTTTTTTTTTTTCTTCTGCTATCAGGAATCGAACTCACGACCTTGTGCTTGCCAGGCAGGTGCTGTGCCTCTGAGCTAAATCCCCAGCCCCCAATATGTTGTACTTTTGGAAAAGATTTCTGCTCATGACTCGTTACAGTGAGGTGTTACATATTTTATAATCCTAGTCCTGATAATTATGAAAGGATATAAATTTATCTTAAATAGTATTAAATATATAAATCAAAGGTTAACACTGTTTCCTTGAGGTAGACTATATTTTCCTTTTAGTCCAAATATCCATGTTTTTATGTAAATTTTTAGAAAACAGGGACACATACATAACTTGATGTCAAGGATCATTTTCCCCCTAAAGCCACTACACTGTAAATGAAAAATGAAGCCCAGAGAAGTGTGGGTTCACACAGGTTGTTATCGGCAGCAGTCCAGTAATGAGAAAGAATAGAGCTTGTTTAGCCAGAGAGCCAGTAGGGCAGCTTGGCCTGTACAGTATTTCAGAGGTGAGGTACCCAGGAGCTTGTAGAAGAATGACAGTGGTCAGGAGAGTTGAGAAAGATGGGGTCAAAGCAGACTCCAACTACTAGGGAACAAACAGGGTATCATCAGGATGCTGGAGGAATAAAAACGTAATGGAAGTTTTGAGCTTGGTTAATTAGTAGAGAAATGAAATTAATCAAATAGAGAAATAAGGTAACAAAGTAAAATTTTGGGAATTGGTAAATGATTTTTGTTTCCATTGTTTAAAAATGTCAACCTTTATATTTATTTCTAAACTGATTCAAGAATAAACTACATGTTTTGTAGAAAAAAAATGGTGTTTTACTTCTAATCACGTTACAACATAAAATGCAGTTCTAAAGAATATTATGTGCTGTGAAGAAAATGTGATGTTGCCATCCTTTGTCCACATTGGTGTGTCTTTTTCTTCCTTAGATTCTAGTATAGTTAGCACTGTTGTGCTTCACGACCTATTGGCATATGTGTCTTCAAAACATTCCTATCTCAAAGGCCTTCCACAGAGGCGGCCTCAGAGAGCGAGCAAGGTAGAGTTTATAGAACTGGAGCACCTGCAGCCTGATATGTTAGTCCATGCTGTGCTGAGAGTTGTGGATGTCATTGTACTGACAGGTAAACATTTTGAGTGCTTTTTTGTTTATAGATTGTAAAAAATTAAGACACAAGACCATCTTAGTATATCATTTAGTTATCATTACATATTTATTGTGAGCTATTAAAGTATGGAATCATCTATGATAGAGTAATGCCAACTAACATGTTCCTTTCCCTTTCCCAGAGGCATTGTACAATTACAGAGGACAGAAGCAAAGGAAAGTTATGTTAATAGTGGAACAGACCCAAGGTCAACATTATATGCTTGTGTTATGGGGTCTTGGAGCAGCCTGGTACCCTCAGCTTCAAAGGAAAAAAGGTAAATACACCCAAAAAAGCATGTAGCGTATTTATATTTTGGTAAATGATTAATGTTTGTGAGCTGAAGATGAAGAGAATCTGAAGGGAGATAACATTTAAAATAGAAGTGATCAAGAGTAGATATTCTACACACTTCTGTTATGTATCCCTTGTAGCAATTTAGTTGTCTAAAAGTCTTGTATAATTAATGGTGTCAAAATAAAGGCTTACTTTTATTCCCAGGTGTACTACTTAATCTTTTTTAGTTAAGATCTTACCTCTTTCAAATAATGTCCTTTAAGAATTTAATTCTAGAGAAGCTTTTACAATTTTTTTTTCAGCCAAAGCACTCAATAAATAGAGTTCTTGGTTAATTAGTAGAGAAATGAAATTAATATTAGATATTAGGGGGAAATTACATTAATGGTTTCAAGTCACAATTATTGTTTAATAAATAACTATGCTCTACATTTTTTTTTTTTTTGGAGACAGGATCTCACTATGGCCTTGAACTCTCTGTGTAGCCCATGTGCCACATTTTTATTTCGGTTTTTAAAAACTGTTAGACATCATATGATGCTCATTTAAAAATGATAATACATTTGGTTCAAAACAAATTAATAATTTATGGTATATTGAACTAAAAGGGATTGATGTTTCAATAAAATAGTATTTAATATTCTTTTTGCTCTTGTGAGATCCTTTTGTTGTAACAGAGATCATTTAATTAGTGGTTTCTGAGTTATTTTACTCTACAAAATTAATTTAGAGATTAAGTGTATGAGCTGTTATTTTTTATCCAAAGGAGTTAATGTCTCTTTCTAAATGTCTCCCTACCAAATAGCTCTCTGTAGGTAGAATCCAGCACATCATCTCTCTTAATCATTAATAGCCTACAGCTAGGATTTGAGATAAGTCAGACTTTTAACTTTTATGTTAGGATCAAACAGTAAGAGATGTTTATTCAGTTGAGAAATCTGACAAACACGTATTGATGATAGATGAGGTGTAGTCCTTGACCCCCGTCACAGCCGGGACACGAGCCTACCACATGCTGAGCAAAGATGTAGGTCAGAGGTAAAGGGGAGCTGTGGCATATGCAATGTTCCATGCTTAATGTGACTGTCCTTTAAGTTAATAGTTATTTGATAGTACAAGAGAAATTACAGTTGTCTCTAGACAGTTCTGTGGTTTTAAGGTTAATATTGAAAACTTAGGCATTCAGGAATTAAGATGTAGGTGTTCCTTGTTCATTGGTTAATTCAGCTTACATTTATTTATACCATCATTTTAAAGCTTTAACATCCACTTCAATACCTTAAGGCAGTTATTTTAATAGAAAATACCAATGTGTAAGGATCACTTAAGTCTACTTTCAGAAATTATTAGCAGTCTACTCATTCATCTATGTGTTTTGGGGCTTTCTCTGTATTAACTTTGCCTACTGAGCATTGGTTTTATTTGTCCTCAAGGATAACAAATTCATCTTTAGATGACATAATTAAAAATGATCACCAAGCAGTCATTATTGAATTGAGGTAATGGAGTTGATGTTTTAGGGAAGAATAGTAAGAAATTCCAGATTCTTTTGAAATATGTATTTCTAGTAGGAATTTGGCATGCTTCGTATGTAGCCAGCATTGGTCACAGTTTAGGCCTTAGGGTAAACTAAGGACATAAATTACACTTAAGAGTAATTGGTTAGACATAAAAGAACTATGTGTTATTCTAATGCAATATTCTTCTGAAAGTTATTTAATAGAAATCTAATATTTCAAATAGCAGATCACAATAAAGTAGTCTCATTACATAGCTAAGCCCAGAGCAATACAAACAATGGCAAAAGTGATAGTTATACAAAGCTATAGTTATGTCTGCATGGAGGTTTCAAATACATCCTTCATTGGTGGTTCACATGTACAAATATATCACAGTTTGTGTCATACAGCTCTCTTTCAGATCATGGACCTATCCAGTGCACATGCCTTTCTGCTATTGGATGTGGCAGTCCTCTGCTCACAATACAGAATGTTGTTTCCGTCTAGTGTGCTTTTCCTCCAAATCTCCCATTTTCAGGGCTCCTTCATGTCCAGCCCCCAGCTTTGTATCCTCCTTGAGGCCTCATACATGCACATCAGCTCACCCTTTGTGTATTTCTCTGACTCATTTTCTTTTGTGGATTGATTTTCTTAGTATTGTAGACTGTAAGTTCTATGCATGTAAGTGCCTTGCCTGGCTGTTTAGCAAACACCCCATCACAAAGCATTGCCTGCCCCAGTAGTTATTTTCCTTATGAATGAATGAAGGTTAAAGTCAGTCAGCCAACCATTTGAATTTCTCACTGTCTTTAAGGAATAAAAGGCTCCAGTTTGAGGAGGAAACAGCATTGCTTGTGTCAAATAATAAGAAACAAATCACAAGGTTAAAATGTGTGATCATGACAATTTTGCAAGCCATGGGATATGTAAAATAATTATATCTAGGGATGAGGATGTTGCTCGGTGGTAGAGCTCATGCTTCATGTGCACTAAGTCTTGGATTTAATCCCCAGCCCTTACACATGAAATGAGGGGAGGGAGAGAAGGAAAGAAATTATAGTTAAGCATGGGCCCTGAGGGCTTGTAGTTAGGACTAGGGCATCCTTCTGTGTAGCTTCACAATGTGACGTTTATAGAGATGTCTCAGCATCCAAGCGGTAGAGTGCGGGTTTGCTTCAGGAGCCTCAGAACCAGGAGCCTGAGCACAGTAGCTGTTGGTCTACAGTGTCTCTTTGTGTTTGTAGTGCACCTGTGGCTCAGCCGGTCTACTTCCCCACCACATGAAAAGTGGAGATGGTTACTCTCTAGCTCGTGATTTTACTTTCCTTTGAGAGACCAGACCCATTTCCAAATTCCTAGCAAAGAGAAACTGATCTAGGTAATCTTATCCAATAAACTATGAGTAGGAAGATAAGGTTCTGCAATGCTAAATGACAACTTGAGTTTACTTCAATGGGCAGGAAACAGTTGTTTGTGGTCTGGGTGGACATAATGGTATTCATCACCACAAATATGTAGACACACTAGCTTAGAAAGATGTATACAGTGTATACATTACAAAACTTCATAAATAGCATCATCTCATCTTGATAAAAGTTTCTCTCAAAGTACAGTATATATGTACATTTAAAAATCCAGAAACATTTATCAAAATGCTACCTGTGGTTATCCTTATATGGTAATACCTTTAGATTGAATTTTATCTGTATTTATATGTGTCTGCATTTACCTCTTAAACTTCATAAAAGCCCTCAAACAAAGACAAGAAAGTAGGGAGAACAGTAAGTTCCTATAATGAACCAAAGCGCTCATTAGGCGGCTTATTAGAACATGGCCAGTCTTTTCACCTCTTACCTTCCTTTTTTCTTATTGTCTAAATGTTTTACAATAAACATATTTTATTGTTAAAAATTTAACTTGTTTTCTTTTTTTTAAAAAAGAATATTTGACATTTGGGATATCTACTTGATAATTTGATAGGATTGGGTGCATTCAGGGTGCTATGGCTGGAGACTCTACTTGATAATTTTTTTGTTTTGAGACAGGGTCTCACTATGCGGTTCAGGCTGATCTTGAGCTCTTTTTGTAGCCCAGGCTGGTCTCGAACTTGCGACGGTCCTCCTGCCTCAGCCTCTTAAGTGCTGGGATTACAATCGTGCACCGCCACGCCTGGCCTCTACTTGATAATTTGAGGAAAAGATATAATTAAATGTTTATTTCATCTCTGTAACAAAATATATTGCAAATTTACTAGAGATTCAAATAAAAAACAAAAGAAACAATGAGTATTAGAAAATGTAGGTGAACTTATTTGGAATCCAAAGATCAGTATGTTAAAGTGCAGCAGTAAAAACTACTATACATAAATCCCCCCATATACAAAATTAAAAGATGTAATAAGCCAGAAAAAATTGTATTATGTCAGAAGATAATACAATAAACAAAAATCTAAAAAGATAAATGGGTAAAGGATATGAACAGGCAAGGCTCCAAGAAGAAATAAAAATAGCCAATAAATACATGAAAAAATTACTCCTGATAGTCATTAAAGACACCCAAAATAATGATAAATGACTTTTTCCTTGTAAGAAATTGACAGAGAAAATATGGGGAAACTGCCATTGTCTTAAACAGTTGGAAATATAAATTAGCAGAACCTTTTTGAAGACAATTGATATTGAGGAAAGAATTCAGGATCTCTTAGGCTTATTAATTGTACCTCTAGGAATTTGTCATTGCATAAAAATGTATCTATATGTTCTTTCTAAAGCCTCTGCCTATCTATACAGATTGATTCTCCACTACCCACACACACACACACACACACACACACACACACACACACGTATAAAGAAACTAAGGAGACAAATGGGAGTTGTGAATTAGATTTATGACCTAAAGTGGGAAACTGAGGAGACAGCTGTTTTCAGGAAAATTAGTGCTGAGAAATATCCTTTTCTTATAATTTTATTTTGTTTGGTTTTTCTACTGAGACAGGGTCTCACTTTGTAGTGCAGGCTGATCTTGAACTCATTATGTAACACAGGCTGGCTTCAAACTCATGACAACCCTCCTACCTCAGCCTCCCAAGTGCTGGGATTACAGGTCTGCACCTGTATCCCAGCTATTATGTGCACTGTGCCCAGCTATTATGATTTTAAAGTTAAATTTACTGATAAAGAGAACAATTATTTGGCAGGGAGGTATGTGCTCCTGTGTTTTAAAAATTAGAGTCATTACTGAGAGATAAGAGTAGGTATTACTATGACTAAGTGCTTTTTTGTCATTGTTGTTCTGGAGAATTTAGCTGAGTAAGGTGATAAAGGTATTGAAATATCAGTGAAATATTGGTTATGATAGACCTGTGACCACTTAATTATCCCTTTAAAAAAACTCTTCAAATTAAAAAAAATAAAACTCTGTGGTTATCAGAATGAGAATTTACTACTTGAAAAAGCAATTAGTTATGATAAATTATGATTGTTTTATTTAGGAGACTAAGAAATTATTAAAAAAGTTTCATTAGAATTATTTCTAGCATTTGTATCCTATGATCTTAACACAACATTTATATATATTTTGTGTCCTTTTGTTGTTGTTATTTTTGAGACAGGGTCTCATTATGTAGCCCAGGCCGACCTTGAACTCATGGCAATCTTTCTGCATCACCCTCCAGAGTACTGGGATTACAGGTGTGAGCCACCATACCTGGCACATTTTGTATCTTTATACCCAAATCATTTAGTGACAAAAGTTGTATTTAACTGATTTATTTAGGTCAATCTATTTAATCTGATTCTGAGCCTAGGCTTTTTCCATTTTGATGACCTTTAATTTTTATTTGTTTTTGTTTTAAGGTTATATTTGGGAATTTAAATATCTTTATGTTCAGCGCAATTGCATACTGGAGAGCTTGGAATTGCATACAACACCCTGGTCATCCTCTGAGTGCCTATTTGATGATGATGTTAGGGCAATTGCATTTAAATCAAAATTTGAAGAAAGTACACCCTCCTTTGTCAAAATGTCAGACTTAGCAACCCACTTAAAGGATAAGTATTCAGGTAAGATCTGTATACACACAAAGTATTCTCTCTCTCTTTTTTGGAGATAGGGTCTCACTGTAATTTAGGCTGCCTTGAACTCATGATGATCCTCCTGCCTCAGCCTCCCAAGTGCTGGGATTATAGGTATGTGCCACTATGCCTAGCTCTAATTTTAGTATAAGCAATGAAGCTACCATTTGTGAGAAAAATGTACGAATGAATATAAAATAAAACTATCTTTGAAACTATCTGAACTGGATATTGACACCTTCTTAGCTGTCTGCCTCCAGTCCTTAGATGTTAATTTGTAATTATTAGAAATCACTTAAAATACTTCTTATGTGTACTTTTCAGCAGTTCATCACTTATAAACTAGAAATAGTAAAATGAACTTAACCAGAGCCACTGTAGCGATAAACACCTTAGTCAGTCACTCATCTGTCTGCTGGATGTGGGTTTTGAGACTTACACTAACACAGGATCTGTGAAATGCCCTTGCTGCCTTGTCAAATGCAGTACCACTCTTCCTGATGTGGTTTGGGTGTTGTTCACCCCCTAAGAGCTTACAAGCTAGGGGTTTGGTCGCCAGTGTGGTGGTGGGGGGTGGTGACCCTGTAAGCGGCAGAGCCTAGTGGGAGCTCCAGGTGTCATTGAGAGTGTGTTCTCGGAGGGTTGTGGAAGCCCAGTCTCCCCAGGCCCCTGGCTTCCTGAGTGGCAGTGTGATCTCACGTGCACCCCTTCAGTCACCATGAGTTTCTCAAGAGGGCTCAGCAATACCAGTGCTGTGCTGGTGAATCTCTAGACCTGAGAAGCTAAATAAACCTCTGTTCTTTATAAAGTTCACTGAGCTCAAGTATTTCATTATGGTCACAAAAACAGTCTGCTAAATTTCCTCAACTCAAGTACTATCTGCGTGTCTCTAAAGTTCATCCTTAGAAGCATGTGAATACAAAAATGCCTTTGATGATGAATTTTATACACAATACACTGTCCATTAATTAAATGGAATTTTCATTAAATACAGTTCAAGTGATTTGTTTAAAGAAAAGGAATACATTTTTTTCTTTGTTTCTGGAATCAATGGAGCTCACACCCTTGTACTTGTGAGGCAGGTGCTGTGCTGCTGAGCTACATCCGCAACCCTAGGATTACATTTTGGATTCAGATGGCCATGGGCTTTGGGACAGAGCCCCAAATAGTGACGATAACTAGTAAAGTCTACAGTTTTAGAAGGAAGAGCCCCACTGCTCTGTGCTGGCTTCCTGTCTACTGAGGCAGCGCTGAAGGGCGCTGGCTTCCAGATGAGCTGTAACAATAGCATTTGAAACTATATTTAGGGTTGCTAAGCTCCCATCATAAGTAAATGACAAGTGATCATAGGTTTCAGAAATTAATGGGAAGTTTTACACTGGTTACCACAGTAAATGCCTTTGGAGAAGAAATAAGGGTTGGAGAAAATGGGACGTAGTGGTAGGTTTATTTCGTTACATAATTTGAATTTTTAATGAAGACATTGAATTAGATTTGAAAATAAAAATAAACTGCATGATGGATGTGACCAAAATAGGTGGCACACAAAAAGATAGGTGGCACAGTAGTGATAATTAATGGTAATAAAGCCTCATTGGGGTTGAGGTGGATTTGGGAGTGTTCTTGGGAATCTTGGGTGCACTGCCCAATGGGAAGTGGGTTGAAACTGACGTTACAGTCAGGCCTGGAGAGACTGTGTTTAGACAGGGCCTATTAGTGTTTTCTCTCTATCTCTGTCTCGATCTCTATTTCTGTCTCTCTGTCCCTCTCTTTCTCCCGCTTCTCTGTCTCATTGTGGTACTGGGGACTGAACCCAGGGTCTTTTTACTAAGCTACACCCCCAGCCTGCCTGCCTTCATTTATTTATTTATTTATTTTATTTTTTTGAGACAGCTAAATTGCCCAGGCTGGGCTTGAACTTTTGATCCCCCTGACCCACCCTCCCAAAAGGCTGGGATTACAGGCCTATACCCCCACACTTGGCTCTTTTATTTTCTTTATGTTCAGCTATGAGGGCTGAATTCATAGTTTCCCACATTATTTGTATGTGTTTTTTGTTTGTTTTCCACAGTACTGGGGATTGGACCCAGAGCCTCACTCGAACAAGGCAAGTGCTCAACCACTGAGCTATATCTCCTGGTTTTTGTTTTTTTTTAGTACCAGGAATTGAACTCAGGACCTTGAGCTTACCAGGCAAGCGCTTGTGCCTCTGAGCTATATCCCCAGCCCCTCCTGTTCCTTTTAATTTATTTTGAGACAAGGTCTTGCTAAATTGCCTGGCCTGGCCTTGAACTTGCCATCCTTCTGCCTCAGCCTCCCAAATAGTTGGGATTACAGGTATGTAACATCACAAACAACTGTTCATGTGTTTTAAGACAAGGATGTAAAGAGAACATGAAAGTACAGGCAGCCTTTTCTTAAATCATTTCCTAGTTAAATAAAAGGGAGGAAAAAGGAAGATCACCACTGGGGAATTCGCTAGGAGGGGCTGCTTGTTGGACAAAAGCTGGGAGGATAAGGCTGTGCCTGATGCTGTGAGCAGAGGGAGATGCTTGTGTAGTCTTGCTTCATGCAGCAGCAGTTCAGTGCCCAGAGGCCTGGGTGCCCCTGAAAGCAAAGCCCATGTTCAGAATGGCCTTTTAATTCTCTTAAAGAGGCTTAAAAATTTATGAAATGATAGGATTATATTACCCCCTTCTAAAAATCAGTGAATTTGTTTTTCTTTTCTTTTTTGAGGGGGAAGGTGTGAGACAGGGTCTTCCTAGGTAGGTCAGGCTGGCCTTGAACTCATGGTGATCCTCCTGCTTCAGCCTCCTGAAGTGCTAAAATTACACAGGTGTACTACCATGCCCTGTATTTGAATTCTTTTACTGAATAATGTAGAGATTCAGCAAGGCTGTGGGAAGGTGTGATAGCAGTCTGCTCCAGCTTGTTGGATAGGTGGCTACTGCCCTTCCTGCTGACTCGCGGTGTGATTGGAAGAGGGGAGGAAACCATTGAAAAACTAAAGCAAATGGAGGAATGCAAGCATGGACAAGTCACCATGGGCTAGATTTGGAAAGAGATGGTGCTAAGAGAGCCTCTAGGAGGCTGCTGGGGTGATGAGCTCTGGGCCCGGCACCTCCTCCCTCCTGGCAGGGAAGAGCCACTGCGCAGGCGTGGGCAAGGCTTTAAAGTGCTGGTAGATGAAAGGGAGAGCGCCGTAAGGTTGGGCCTTACAAGAGGACAGAGAAGTCAAGCTGAGGTTGGAAGAAGGACTGTCCGGTGGGCAGTGGGTGTTGTGTTTGCTCATAGGTGATTGAGGGGCTTGGCAGGGCCCAGTGAGCTCACCTGAAAACCCGTGAGTTGCGCCACCTGGGAAACCTTCTCATCGAGGACTCTGTTACATAACCCACAGCTGGAGCCGCAACAGTGGGCAGAAGTGGGGGAGAAGAGCGCCAGGAGCGTAAACTTGGGTTAATTACTTTTGGACAAGGTTGAGTAGAATAACTCACCTCCCATTTGGCTGTTGGTTATGATCAATTAAACTCAGGGAGAGAGGGCAGTGGGAGCACGGTAGCTACTTTCAAGTACAGTATGTGAAAGGATGTTTCCTAAAGGAAGGATTACACTTTTTGTGTAATTCCAGAGGACAAGGAGGAAGAGAGCCCCCTAGCTGCTCAGTGAGCTCAGTCTTCAGTCAGTTGCTGGCAGATTCTGGAGTTGGTACCACAGCCCCGAATGTGAGGGATTCTCAGGGAAAGAGGAAGAACAAGAGCAGGACTTGATGCAGCCTTTCCCCAGTGACATAAACCACTGGGCGCATTTGCAAATTAAAGTTACCATGTGGTCCAGTAGGGTACATGATTTCTTTTCCTTCATCTCTGCTAGGAGTGGTTCTGATTAAAGCGCAGATCGTGGAGCTGGTGTTTCCTGTCAGAGCGGCTCAGGAGGTCCGTCTGAATGCCCACAGCTCCCTGGAGCATATCCTGTCCTCGCTCCCCAGTATTACTTACACTGGCTGTGCAGGGTGTGGATCGGAACTGGACACGGATGAGAACAAGATCTACAGGCAGTGTCTTGGCTGCTTGCCGCTTTCTGGGAAGAAAATGTACTACAGGTAAGGAAGAGTAGGAAGCCAGTTTGATGGGAATAGTTACTATTATGGGACTGCAAGTGAGTAAGGACTGCATGTATCAACCCTTACTTTCTAGTAAGAACTAACCCAAGAAAACAGAAATTTCCTCTGCATGACAAATAGTTATTTATGGAAGCAAATATTGTCCAGGGAAATTTTAAGACAAACATACTGAAGAAAGTTACTATTTTGCTTACATTTTTAATCAAGATCTAAATGTGGCATAAATAATTCATTTCCCCATTTTAAAATAGAATTTAAAGGTTAAAGATATTATGTGATCTTACCTCTGAGTTGTTTGTAGAAGCTAGTAATATGTTTAACCTTCCATACTTCAGTTCCTACCTTTACCTTAGAAATTAAAGATAGCAAATAAATGTCCTCTGGTGAAATTGTCAACTAGCTCAATGAGAAAACACACTGTTTTCCAAAAACCAAATGTCCAAAGTCATGGATAATTTTTTAACCATATAAATTACCTACATTTACAAAATAATACACCATTTATACTCTCTCCTCTCATTTCTAAATACAGAGTATCTAAAAACTAAACACAAATATATCCAGTATATTATCATGGAATACTTCAGGGGGCTTACAGAAGCTTAGTCCATAAGCTGTATTTCTATCTACAAATAATTACATTTGTTTTAAGTCAGTGAATGAGTATTACTATTACTTTGTAGGTTGCTTTTATGGAAAGGAAGATTGAATTATGATACCTACTATATAAGAAACAATTAAAATTAACTTCTTATCGATAGTTAAGGCTTTCAAAAGTATGTATAGGTAACTTATTTTATATCATTCCAAATGTTCCTATTCTATATAGTTATTATTTAGGGTATAGTTACTGTTCTTAAAACTATTATAGAACCTGCATACCCTTTGTAACAATGTTTTACAGAATATAAATTTAGAATTATTATTTTTTGAATACAAAGAATACATTGTTTTTGCTGTATAGAAGCCAAGAAGCCAGCAGGCCAAATCACTCTTCAGCTGAAGAGAGGCAGCTGTATAGATGCCAGGGTCTCAGGAGGTGAAGGAAGGTGCGGGCTGGGTACATCTCCAGTGGCCCAGGCCCACTAACCCAGGGCGAGCTGTGTTCCTTCCTACATGTCCCGACCCTATGGCTGCCTGGGCGCACTCACAGTGTGGCACCTTGTTTCTCCAGTAAAAGCCACCAAAGGAGATCGAGGTGGAAGCTAGCCTTTTTATGACTCAGCCCCAGCAGCCACACATGTCACTTCTGCTAAATTCTCCTAGGACATGAGTTTGGCTGTCCCTTGGAGAACAGATGAGAAGGAGGCTGGGTACAGAGGAAGGGCGGGGGTAGTGTTAGCTGTAGTGTCATGGGTGGGAAGGAAGCATTTTGACTGATTTAACCTTTTCTAAATAGGAAATAAAAAGTTTTCATCAGAAGAACCTTCATTTTACATTTTCAAGAAGGCAGTGAGATGTCTTGATGGCCAAGCTCTCTTGAGATTGAAGGGAAATTTTCCATCTTCGGTACTGTTTTAGTTATTATCTTGTTGCTACCTGACACCCACAAGTTAAAGAAGGAAAGGTTTATTTGGCTCACAGTTCATGGAGGTTTTAGCCCATAGTTGGCTGGCTCCAAGGCAGGGTGGTGTGGCAGAGGGACATCACAGAGGAGAACAGCTCATGGCATGGAGGATAGAAAGCAGCAAGAGATCAAGGGAGGAGGAGGGAGATAGACCTTTAGGCCACACCCACAGTGGTCCACCTCTTCCCATCAGGCTTCACCTCCCAGCATCACACTCAGCTATAAACCTATCAGTGGACTAGTCCGATATCATACACCCCTGATTCAGTCATCTCCCAAAGCCCCACCTATGAACAAATGAGGCTGTGGGGGGACATGTTAGATATAAGCCATACGAGGTACCATGTCCTTATGGATATAAACCTCAGTCTACTGGAATACCTATGGAATGTGAGTCTAGTTAACTACAGATTACTAGCAAACACTCAGTAGTAACCATTACAGAAAAGTGCTCCTGCCTTTACAGAGATTATTTAGTGAGGAATTTGGGGAATTGAGGCATTTCATTTATACTGAACAAGTGAAACTGAATATAGCCATAGAAAGAACAAGAAACAGAAGTTGTTACTGGAATTTTAAAGTAAATGTATATTGTCCTTTAAAAAGTGTTGGGAAAAGAGAATTGGCATGATTTAGTGACTGAATGTCAGGTAAAAGGAGATATTATTACAGAGCACTAGCAATTAACAGGTGCTAGAGCTCTTAAAACTAGTACCATGGGAAAGTGCTGATTCATATGAATGTGGATGGCTCAGGGGCTGAAAGATGGTCAGTAGTCAGACATGCAGGAATGCGCCTCAGGCTTTGTTAAAAAGTTGTAAATGTAGCCCTCCTTCTCTTTCTTCATCTCTAAATTCACTTCAGCTTACTCTGTTCCCCGCCCTTAGTGCTGCTCATACTGCTTTTGTTAAGGTTATCTACAATTTTGAAGTGGCCTAACCCATGAACCTTCTCGGCTATATTCCACACCTGTTCCTCCCCTCTATGCTGGCCCTGTGCCACTACCCTCATTGGGTTTCCTAGCCTGTCTTTTGAAATGCTGGTCAATCCTGAGTCCCCTTCACTGTCCTCCCTCTTCGCCATCTTCCCACTAGTGATCGCCGCTGTTTCCAGGTTGCAAAAAGCATCTGTGCACCCTCCTGTGGTCCCCATTGCCCCATGGCTTCTCCCTCTGGTTCGATGGACTCCTTTCAGCCCTTTGGATATGGCAGTTGTTTTCTCTGTCTTCAATTTTCTCTCCTCTGCCTGTTTACAGAGAGGACATCCCTAACCCCCTCTTTTATTTTCTGTTAGTGGCCTGTATGTAGTTACTGCAGTTTGTGTTTAGTTAGAATGTCTTTTCTTAAACAACATTTTTACTGGGATGTAACTCATGTATCACTCACCTCTAATGTGGGATTAAGTGGTTTCAGAATATTCACAGGCTTGTGCAACCATCACCGTGGCCATTTTAGGACATTTTTTATTGCACACACCCTCAAAGTCCCTATCTATTAGCAGTCAGCCCTCATCCTTACCTGCTCCCCTCAGAAGCCCCCATATTCTTCTCTGTGCAGACTTCCCTCCTGAACACATCGTGGGAGTGGAGTCGGTGTGAGGCCTTTTGGGACTGGATCTTTCACATAGCATAAGGTTTTTAAGGCTCTTGCGTATTGTAGCATGGATCACGCCTCAGTTTTCTTATTGTAAAATAATATTCCATTGTATGTAAATGCCACCTTCTATCTTCCCATTCTTCAGCTGATGGACATTTCAGTCATTCTGATTTTTTGGATCGTGTGTATAATGCTGCTGGGAACATTTGTGTACATAAGTTTTCATTCCCCTTGGGAGTGCAAGGATCAGTTTCACATTCTCACCAGCAGCCAATGTGAGGGTTGCAGTTTTTCTACATCCTCACCAGTACTCTTATTCTGTTTTTCTTTCTGTTGCTTGTGCTTGCGGTGTCATATTTTTTTTAAAAAAACATTTTTAAGGCAAAATCATGAAGTTTACCTTTATATTTTCTTTTGAGAGCTTCACTCTTTTATCTTTTACACTTGGGTTCATTATCTGTTTTGAGTTAATTTGTATGTATGGTGTTAAGGAAGAAATCCAGCTTCATTCTTTTACATGTAGATATCCAGTTGTCCTAGTGTGATTTTTGAAGACTCTTCTTTCCCTATTGAATTATCTTGGGACCACTGTAAAAAAAAATCTTACTTTCTTTGATTTGGGTTGCGCTCAATGGTAGAGCCCTTGCCTAGTATGTGCGAGCTCTAAGTTCTATCCCCAGCACTAAAAAAAAAAAAAAAGTTTTTTTTTTTTTTTTTTGGTCTTTTTGAGACAGGGTCTCGCTATGCATTTCAGGCTGGCCTTGAGCTCACTTTGTAGCCCAGGCTGGTCTTGAACTCGCAAAGATCCTCCTGTCTCAGTCTCCCAAGTGCTGGGATTATAGGTGTGTGCCACCATGCCCAGCTAAAAAAAAAAATGCTTTCATATTTTCTTTTTCCTGCCAGATTCCTAAGTTCCTTCAATAGAGGAACCAGACATGTCTGGTTACTAGTGTATGTCCGTGTTTAGCATAGCTTGTGATATGTGACAGACGCTCAGTTTGTATTTGTGTTTGTTTCCATAAAGAATGGAGAAGCTGGGTATGGTAGCATACACCCATAATCCTGGTAGGAAAATCACAAGTTCAGGAGAAATGGAAGTTTGAACCCAGCCTAGGCAATTTAGCAACATAGCAAGCCCTATCTCAAAAAATAAAAAAGGGGCTCAGGGTGTAGCTCAGCATGAAGCCCTGGGTTCAGTTCCCAGTACTGGGTGGTGGGGAAGAGGGAGCGAGATCACCTGGGGAAGGAGCATAGAGTGAGAGAGCAAGGGAATGAGAAGTATACGGCTAAAGGGAGAAAGTCTGCAGTCAAGTTTATCTCTGCTCTCCTGAGTTCCCCTTTATTAAGCATGTTTCTAAATTCCTTCTCCATTTTCTTTTTCCAGACCAGCTTTAATGACCATAGCTGATGGAAGCCATGTGGTTTGCGTTCATGTAGGCTCCAAGCTCGTAGAGAAGATTCTCCTCCACATTTCTCCAGACTGCCTGGACAGAGTGATAGGTATGCTGTCTGCACGCCTTGCAGAGTCGTTCTTGGTGGGGCTGTTCACTCAGGGGTACAAGGAGCACTCTATGTCAATGAAGTCTCTCTCTGTCAGGGTGCAAGCGGAGGATGATTTGCTATGTGAGTCAGAAGGTGGGACTTGCTTCCCTTCTGTCTTTCTACATGAGTAGAAGTGCCCAGTCTCTTTGAGCTGAATTCCCACTCAGGTCCTGGTTTACAGGAGTGAAGTCCATGCACGTGTGGTACCCTGACTATGAAGACAGGCCATTGTTAATGGTCGGATTTGCTGGTTACTCAGCCACGACACTAGGGACAGCCTGTGGCTGGAAGCAAAGGGCCAATATCCACCTGTTGGGTGATCACACTCCTTCCTGTCCTCTTGAGCCTCCAGCTCTTTAAGCCGAGAGCAGGTCCAGTTCTTTTGATTGCTTGGTCTCTTAGTGTGTGGTTCTTCTTGCTCTTTGGATGCCAGTCATTTTGCTTGATGCTAGCATTGTGTGTAGAACACGACAGCCTGGGAAGCAGTATCTGTGTCTGGAGATGGCCGGGCCTCTCCTAGGCCTTCATTGAGGTGAAAGTCACCCACGTCAGATGCCCAGGTGGATTTGGGGTTCACTGTTGCCATGGTCACCTTCAGGTCCCCGCTAGCTCTGGCTCCTGGTGCTGGCTTGTGTTTGGGTGGCAAGGGGTCTCTGTGCTCCTGCCCCCCCGTGGTTTCTCCCTTCTCTCTGCTCCTAGGCCTTAGAGACTTCCTCTGTGTTCCTTTTCCCATTGACACATTGTCACTGTGCATGTTTCTGGGGTGCTATGGGGTGCTGTGTGACATTTTAATGCATATGTCCAATGTGTAATGATAAGTCAGGGCAAGTGGCATTTCCATCACTTGAGACGTTGTTTGAGTTACAGGCCTTTAATGATAGGGATACAATCTAGACATTTGTCCTTTGTCACTCAAACAATCCCAGGTGGCACAGGCCAGTCACTCAGGTGGCCTCCTCCTGCAGTCAGGAGGCCTGGTAAACCAGGTGTGGGTGGCTACTGTCGGCAGAACAGTACAGTAGCCTTTTTATATGTGGGAGTCAAACAGCACTGTAAAATAGAACAGGAACCTGGTCATATGGTTTACTATTGCTATCAGGTGTTGTGTATTGGCATAGTTGTCTGTGATGTGCCCTTACAAAGCCAGGGCACAGTAGGGTTCCTCACACTGGCATCACCTCAGACGTTAGGGTGATGTCATGGTGGCTGTGTCTCCGGGCAGTAGTGATTCTTCAGTTCTATTCAGCTCTCAAGGGGCCAGTGCAGTAGATGTAGCCCCGCCTCTACTGAAGGACTGAAGTGCTCCCCATCGCTCCTATTCCTGCAAGTTCCTGAGCTGCTCAGGCCCCAGCTGTTCATTACAGGTGCATCCTGGCCTGGGGGGCAGGACTGCTGCTCCTGTCTGACTCTGCAGCCCATGTTCCCTGGGGCCAGGTGTGGCCCTTCCTCTGCAGCCCATGTTCCCTGGAGCCAGGTGTGGCCCTTCCTCTGCAGCCCTGCCCCTTCTGCTGTGGCAACCAGCTCATCTTTGTGGGTTCTGAGTGGCCCTGCCTGTCCCCTTCAATAGGGCATCAGGAGGATCATTACCAGAGACCCATGCAGTGAGCCCCAATCTCCTGCCAGGTATAACATGCTTGGTGGAAAGAAAGAAAGAGCAAGAGAAAAAATGGAAGTGCAGCAGGGATCTGGGATAACTAGTTGTTCACGGAGAACAAAAGGCAAGAGGCAGCCAGAACCCTGGCAGTTACTGATTGAGGAGGAGATTGTCAGATGATTCAGAGGGTGGTGACGATCTTAAACTAATGAGGATCTTGCTCTGGAGCTTCTTTAGTCTCAGTGGTCTTAATCTTAGTAGGTGGAAGAGGATGCCCACCCATAATGGATAATGGGAAATCTCAAAACCGTGATACCAATAATCCTAAGCCTCTGTTTATTCTTTAGGGAAGTATGTAAAACTAGCCATTGTGAATTTGTAGTCCCTAACAGGTCATGGTGCAGAGCTGTTTTTGTCCCTCTCCCAGGATCAGAGTCTTTTTTTCTCTTTTACCTTCCCCATCCACCCTGGGCCTCACCTGGGGTAACAGGATCCCTGCCCTTCCTCCCATAGTTATTGCTCTTGCTCTATGGGTGCCAGGCCCCTCCTGAAGGCCTCTCCACAGTGGACAGGAGTTCTTGTCCACCCTTGGGTGAGGTGAGAGGAAGACTTTGAGGACACAGGCTCCCAAAGTCTGCTGCTGTCTAGGAACTTGAGCCCCTCCTTCCTGGTATGGCCTCTCACTTGTGTCCTGGTCCCTGAACTTCCTGGCTGCTTATGGTCGTGCTTAGGTGAAGAAAAGGACGATTTTATAGTTTATTGAGCTTTTTCTGCTAACTTTTCGGGTGGAAGCCATGCTTTCTGCGGATTTCTACATCCTGATTTGAAGCCTTTCTGGCCTTTTATTCACTCACTTTATTTCATGTTCATTCTTTTGGCTGTGTTCATTGCTTTTCTCAGAGTTCCTTATATATTTTCAATTGTACCTCTTCATTTTTCACACAATGTACATTAGTCGTAACTTCTTAGAGAAGATTGTTCTCTTGTTACATAGCCTTCTGGCTTTCGCCCTTCCTGGGACAGCTAAGGTCGCGCTGCTGGGCTTCACTAGATCAAGTCACACTTTATAGACTGTAGCCCAGGATGACACAGCCATTGTGTCTAAGTGGTCATCCGATCATCTTGATTACCATTCTCTAGGTTTTCAAAGGGAAAATGCAAAAATCGTAGTTCTTGAGGAGAATTCTGCTATCTCCAGAACTGTAGCCTTGGCTCTACAGCACAAGAGTGGCCAGTGCTGGGGAGGCTGGCAGGTGGCCAGGAGGCAGTGCAGTCCAAGCACCATCAGTGGTGCCCTGTAGGTGTGGAGCAGCCTGCTAAATAACTCATTAATGTCCTGAGAACAAAGCCACTTTGGGAGGCTAAGGCCGGAGGATGGCAAGTGAAGCTCAACTTGGTCAATTTAGTGACTTAGCGAGACACTGTCTCAAAATAAAAAGATGAAAAAAGGCTGGGATGTAGCTCAGTGTGGAGGCCCTGGGTTCAGCACCCAGTACCCTTCCCACACATGCACATATACACACACAAGGAAAAAAAAGAAAAAGGATGAATGTGGACAAATGAAAATTATGACACATCTATTCATAATTTTAGTAGTATTTTATTATTGATATGGTATTCATTAAATAATCGATTCAAGGTTCTTTGATTTAAAGCATAAGTACTGGTTGAACATCTATACTCCAACTGTTTAACCTATGAAATGCTCCCAGCTGGGCGTGGTAGCACATGCCTATAATCCCAGCACTCCCGGAAGGCTGAGGCAGGAGGATCATTGCTATAAAATGAGCTCAAGGTTAGCCTGAACTGCACAGGGAGACCCTGTCTCAAAAAGACAAAAAAAAAAAAAGAAATACTCCCAAACTTGAAACTTCTTGAAAGCCAGTGTTAGGCTACAAGGGGCAAATCCCACACCTGACCACATGTGACATGTTGCAGTCAAAACCCAGGTGCACTAAAGGCACTATATATAGAGTTTCTTCCAGGTAACATGCATAAGGTTCCTGTTAGTCTTGGGTCTTGTCCTCAGGATACCTCATTATTTATGTAAATGTTCCAAAATTAAAAAAAAAAGAAATCCCGAACACTTCTGGTGCCAAGCATTTTGGATCAGGGACACTCAGTCTGAGAGAGGGAGAGGGAGAGGGAGAGGG